TTTAAAAAAAAACCAGCTCCTGGATTTATTGATTTTTTGAAGAGTTTTCTGTGTCTCTATCTCCTTCAGCTCTGCTCTGATCTTAGTTATTTCTTGTCTTCGGCTAGCTTTTGAGTTTTTTTGATCTTGTTCCTCCAGCTCTTTTGACAATAGGGTGTCGATTTTAGATCTTTCCTCGCTTCTCTGGTGTACATTTATTGCTATAAATTTCCCTCTAGACACTGCTTTAAATGTGTCCCAGAGATTCTGCTATGTTGTGTCTTTGTTCTCCTTGGTTTCAAAGATCATCTTTATTTCTGCCTTCATTTCATGGTTATCTAGTTGACATTCAGGAGCAGGTTGTTCACTTTCCATGAAGTTGTGTGAGTCTGAGTTAGTTTCTTAATTCTGAGTGCTAATTTGGTTGCCCTGTGGTCTGAGAGACTGTTTGTTATGATTTCTGTTCTTTTGCATTTGTTGAGGAGTGATTTACTTCCGATTATGTGGTCAATTTTAGAATAGGTGCAATGCAGTGCTGAGAAAAATGTATATTCTGTGGACTTGGGGTGGAGATTTCTGTAAATGTCTATTAGGTCCGCTTGGTCCAGATCTGAGTTCAAGTCCTGGATATCCTTGTTAATCTTTTGTCTTGTTGATCTGTCTAATATTGACAGTAGAGTGTTAAAGTCTCCCACTGTTATTGTGTGGGAGTCTATGTCTCTTTGTAGGCCGTTAAGAGCTTGCTTTATGTACCTGGGTGCTCCCGTATTTGATGCATATACATTTAGGATCATTAGCTCTTCTTGATGCATTAATCCTTTTACCGTTATGTAATGCCCTTCTTTGTCTCTTTTGATCTTTGTTGGTTTAAGTCCATTTTATCAGAATCTAGGATTACAACTCCTGCTTTATGTTGCTCACCATTTGCTTCATAAATCTTCCTCCATCCCTTTATTTTGAGCCTATGTGTGTCCTTGCATGTGAGATGGGTTTCCTGAATACAGCACATCCATGGGTCTTGACTTTTTATCCAATTTGCCAGTCTCTGTCTTTGGATTGGGGCATTTACCCCATTTACGTTTAAGGTTAATATTGCTATGTGTGGCAATCCAAGATGCCTGAATAGGAACAGCTCGGAGTGCAGTTCCCAGCAATAACAACACAGAGGGTGAGTGCCCACTGCATTTCCAAACAAGTTTTCACTGCCCACCGACCAGGAGATTCCCAGGCCGAAAAGCGCCACAAGTTTTCAGCATGTCTGGTACTGTGGGTAGGCGCGCAGAAACTCACACAAATCTGGGTGACCATTTCCACTGGTGCCTGGAATGCCTGGGAGACAGAGCTGCCCATTCAATTGAAAGGGAGAGGGCTGAGGCAAGGAGCCAGGTGATCTGACGTGGAAGGTACCACCCTCACAAAACAAGCAATCTGAAAAGCTCTGGATTGAGAATTTCACAGTAAGCGCAGCTGGACCCAGGATGGTCCAGCTCAGTTGGGGGAAGGGCATTCGCAACTACCGAGGCAGTTTGCCAATACCAAGGCAGTTCACACAGCAGCTGGGCAGAGCCTGCAGCAGCTCAGCAATGCCTCTGCTGGCAGACTGTGACTAGACTACTCTGTGCTGGGCAGGGAATCTCTGAAAAAATGCAGCGGCATGTCAGGAACTCATAAAATAAAGCTGACCTTCCTGGGTTTCTGCAGTTCTGCTGCAGCAGAAGAAGAAACCGGCAGCAACTCTTACTGTTCTGCAGCCCCCATGGGTGATCCCCTAGCAAGCAGGGTCTGGAGTGGACCTCCAGCAGTCCTGCAGCAGAGGGACCTGACTGTTAGAAGGAAAACTGAGAAACAGAAAGAAATAGCTTCAACATCAACAAAAAGGATGTCCACTCAGAGACCCCATCCAAAAGTCACCAACTACAAAGACCACAGGTAGATAAAGCCAGTAAGATGGGAAGAAACCAGTGCAAAAATGATGAAAGCACCAAAAACTAGAATGCCTCTCCTCTTCCAAAGGATCACAACTCCTCACCGGCTAGGGATCAAAGATGAATGGAGAATGAATCTGATGAATTGACAGAAACAGGCTTTAGAAGGTAGGTGATAACAAACTTATCAGAGCTAAAAGAACATGTACTAACCCAATGCCAAGAAACTAAGAACCTAGAAAAAAGGTTAGATGAGATGCTAACTAGAATAAACAGCTTAGAGAAGCATATAAACGACTTGATTGAGCTGAAAAACACAGCACGAGAACTTCACAAAGCATACACAAATTTCAGTAGCCGAATTGACCAAGCAAAAGAAAGGATATCAGAGATTGAAGATCAACTCAATGAAATAAAACAAGAAGGCAAGAATAGAGAAAAAAGAGTGAAAAGAAATGATCAAAGTCAAATTTTAGAAAATAGAAGAGCTGGGACTTGATCCCAGAACATCTACCTTGAACTCCAGGATATTTTCCAACTTGCTATGCTACTAACATTTCTATGCTGCAAGATGCTGGGGAGAATTGAGGCTGGACATGGTGGCTCACTCCTGTAATCCCAGCATTTTGGAAGGCTAAAGCAGGCGGATCTCTTGAACCCAGGAGTTCAAAACCAGCCAGGGCAACATAGCGAGAACCCATCTATGTATGTTTTTTAATTAGCCAGGCATGGTGGCACATGCCTGTAGTCTCAACTGTTCAGGAGATTGAGGCAAGAGAATGGCTTTAGCTCTAGAGGCTGCGGCTACAATTAATTGAGATTGTGCCACTGCAATCCAGCCTGGGCAACAGAGTGAGACTCCATCTCAAAAAAAAAAAAAAAAAAAAAAAAAAAAAAAGGAAAGAAAGGGAGAAAATTGGTTAGTTGTGTGTTTATGTCAATGGTTTGATAGAAGGTAGGCAGCTATAAGTGGTCTATTTCCAAAAATAAAAAAGAGGTCAATATAGAATGATTTTAAAGAGAGCAAAAGGTTGAGAAGCAACTTATGGAAAGCTTTCTATTGTACCTAAGTTGCCCTGTTTCAACCAGAGAGACTTAACTTTTGCCAGTAAGTGGGCTGAAGTATAGACAGCCTGCCCACATCCTTTAAGCCTACGTTGGACATGTGGAAAATTCACAGATCCTCTACCACAGAGACATGTGAATTCCTTACATCTGTGACCTTTGAGACATATCCCACTGTCTCTGGAACTCCAGGCACACTGAATCCTGGATTTGGGGAAAAAGATTATCCTGCTGCAGCTTGGGTTAGAAATAGGAAAATTCGGTCTCCATTAGAATACCCAGTTTGAGTTCTATAACTGTATTATTCACATATTCTCAGATGTAAATAAGGCTGTATATTTATATGTGAATTAGTTTCAAACTTAAATGTTTTCCTTAATTTAAAAGTTTTCTTCTTTGAATGCTGATCATTTCTGACAGAAAAGACTTTTATGAACTATGATTCATGTATCTTATGTACCACCTCTAAACACTTTCTCACAACCTCCTTATCCCCGAGACTCCAGGACAGTCTATAACATCTTAAGAAGCAACATTTTTTAGTATTCCACACAGACTCTTTTAGAATTTTCTTTTTTGATAACTATAAATAATGAAGATTTAATGATTCCCATTCTTTATTTTTTAAAGGATGCTTTAAAAATTTTTAGTTACCAACCTATGGATAAAATCTTTCTTTTCATGTTTTAGATTTCTTATATAAGTGCTAAACTACTGCTTTATTTGCCAACACATTTATTTGGAGTTGCATTGAAATCTTGACTTTTTTTCTTATAAATCGGTAAAATAACATAGCCAAATATTTCACTTGTTTGCATAAACAACTATGGCTTAAACATAGCATTTTTTTCCTAATATGAAAGTAATTCATTATAGAATCCTGGCAAATAGATAAACATTATGAAGAAGAAAATGAAAACCACTCACTATGATTCCACTACCTAGAGAGAAGCATCGTCCAAATATTGTTTCCATCTGGTAGCAAAGGCATAACTCTGCATTTGTGTGGCAACACGATTTTATGCATGTTAGACAGCAATAGGACAAATCTAAAGTATTAAGTAATGTCTCATAGTATTTATTGTTTACAGGTCAATTTTACCTCCTTTAGTTTTTAACCTTCCCTGATTCTATAAGGAATGTCATTTTTTCATGGTTTACACCTGAAACCACAGCTTCACAAAAGTGTAGTTAAATCAGCAGTTGCAAAATTAACAGGTCACAGAGCTCAGACGCAAACTTGATTCTCCGGCATCTCAAATCCAGTAATCTTTCCATCACAGTCTAACTACCTCATGTATTTGGATTCCTGTTGCAATTTATTCTTTTGACTAAATTAAAAGTCATTCTAAAAGTTTGCCTTAAAACACCCTCAAAGTGTTACTAAATTTAGGTTAAATCTCAAGTATAAATTTTCAAGCAATTAGTTTTGGTTTTGCCTGCTCAGAACACCCTGCAGATGATGCCGAATAAAAACTATTTACACACTACCAGAGTGCATTTCTTGTAAAAATATTGGGTCTGTAGCAACGATTTGCTAATCAAATTCAGAATTTGATTTGAAATGCCTTCAGCAGGCAGCCAATCCAGTTATGAAAGAACAGAAGCAAAAACCAGAGCTCTAATGAGTCTCCTCCAGAAGCTAGCTGGGTCCTTTGCTCTCATTAGCAAACTGGTTCCATAGGAAATCACTGCAATTGCTCCTAAAATAAAATATCATAGTTAATTTTTTCAATAAATTATTGAACTTTACTAGACACAAAACAGGTATCTTTTGGAATCTAGAGTTATAAAATATTCTGACATGTTTTAATATAAGCAGGAACATTTCCAATGATTGCTTGGATCGAAAATGTTTTTCCCCTTGACATTTGTTTATACTTCCTAGGAAAGAAATTCTATTTATGGATAACTGAATAACACAAATAAACATCAGAGAGAGCTGAAAAATCAGCTTTGATTATGCATGAAAATCTACAATGTCATTGTGTACTCTTATGCCGTATTCTGATTGCCTGTTTATTTTTACAGAACTGCTGGTGAGCCTATGGAAGAGGAACCAGCCTTGTGAAGTGCCAAGTCCCCCTCTGATATTTCCTGTGTGTGACATCATTGTGTATCCCCCAACCCCAGCACCCTCAGACATGTCTTGACTGCTGCCTGGGTGGCACAGATTCAATGGAACATAAACACTGGGCACAAAATTCTGAACAGCAGCTTCACTTGTTCTTTGGATAGACTTGAAAGGGCATTAAAGATTCCTTAACTGTAACCGCTGTGATTCTAGAGTTACAGTAAACCACGATTGGAAGAAACTGCTTCCAGCATGCTTTTAATATGCTGGGTGACCCACTCCTAGACACCAGGTTTGAAGTAGAAACATTCATTAGAGCACTAGATATTGTTAATTTCAGATGCTATGACAGACAGTGAAATTTTGGGCAAAACCTGAAACATACTCATTCCTGACATTCTGATCAGCTTTTTTGGGGTTAATTTTCTTTTTCAAACAGTCTTAAGTTGTTTACAAGATTTGCTTCAATGGATAGCAATTCTATACAAACTGTAGTGTTTCTTGTTTGGTTGGTTTTTTCCTTTTTTTTTTTTTTTTAACTTTGTTTTAACACACAGTTCAACTCTTCCTAGCAAGAGTTCAAGATGGAAGAACTAAGATGAGGCTTTTTTTCAGTGGAATGAACCACACTGTATCTCAAAGTCCAAATGCCAAAGGAACTTCATACACTGTTTGTAATGGTGCAATATTTTATATTACTCTTTTTTTTTTAGAAAAATGTCCCTAACATCTTTATGCTCTCAAATACAGTCAATTTGCAATTGTGTTGGAGAATAAAGTTCCCCACCTCCAAGCGCCACATACATTCCTTGTTCTTATGACAGTAGGTCTGAGCAAATGTTCTACCAAGCATTTTCAGTGTCTTTAAGAAGCACATAACTTTTCAAAGATGGTCTTAATTTGTTCCAAATCTATCAAGGACGTATTCACTCACCTTTCTTTTTCTGCCTTCCATCAATTCCTTTCTTCTTACCTTTCATCATTTATTCCTTCTTTTAGAAAAACTGAAGATTACCCATAATCTCCACTATTACTTGAGGGCCTTGACTGTTTAGTTTATTTTGTTTACTTTCCAAGTTAACACAGTTGTTTGGTCTGATTGTATTTTTTTTTAACTGTGAAGCCATTGAGATGAATATCACTTAAGCAACGTTGCTAAATTTTCTATGTGTTTGAAATATGTTAATGAAGGCACTGCTTATTTGTACTCACCTTGAACTGACTTAACCTAGAAGTTGTGCCTTCATGTGAAGAAAATGAATAAAACAAACTTTAAACAAGTTGCCTTAGTGTCAAAGGTTAAAAATAGAGAACATTTATTTCTGAGATTAAAAGCAACTTACTAAATATAAGTAGGTTATCCTCCTACCTCCCAAAACTCTATTTCAACGTGTAACTCAAACACGTAAAGATATTGAAGTAGAATTGCTCACAGTATTTAATATCTGACAATGCTTTTGAAAGAGTTGGTGTTTCTTTTTTATATATTTTTCTAACTCAAAGGATATATTAAAGCCATAAGTGAAGATTGTCATGCTTTTATTCAGAAATCTGAAAGAAACCTTAATTAAAACAAGGTTTTAGGGAAGGCCATGATATGAAAGATATGGAACAATGTGGTTTTAGTTAGAGAGGACTCTAACCTGTAAATCAAAGATGAAAGATTTCACTCAAGTAGAATTATATAACTCCCTTTGTTATACAGTCAGACCATATTTTTCATGCATTTGGTTTTTTTAGGATTACCATTTTAATTTTAAAGACTTTTATTACATATACAAAAATGGCTCAATACTTGGTTTAACATCTTAGAAATGTGAGACACCCTTTGAAATAGGAAATCTGAAATGGAATGTAACTTAGTATTAGGTAAAAATTGCTTTCATTGCATAAGGGCAAATTCAATCTAGATTCATAGTAGTAATGAATTTTTTATAAATTTTATTTTCATATTTTCAGAGAAATTCATACCAATCATATTTGCTAGCTTATGTTATTGTGCAGTGATTGCTTGAAGATATTTACTTAAAAAATAGTGGAGCCAAAAACTTAACAAAAGACTCTCCCCATTTTAAAAAGGAAAGTCATGTTTTTAATTGGAAATATAATTGTGTAGTTTTAAAATCAATTTCATAATTATTAAATCACTGTCATTGCTCTTTAGTTCTCCCAAATATTTTTATGAAGTTAAGAAAATAAAACAGTGTAATGCAAACATACTCATCCACTGAAGTTTCCTACAACAGTTTAGCCACATGTTTATGGCAAGCCATTAATCTGATAAAGCCAAATCACTAGGACATCTCCATGGTTATTTAGATTTAAAACTTGACATATTAATGGATTAATCATACATTCTCCCATGTGACACCATACCCAGTTGGCTGCACTTAGAGTCTTTAAGATACTTGGAGAAGCAAATAAACTATGGAGAGGATTATTCGCAGCTGAATGTAGTTGTAAGAACGGAATACCAGTGCTTTTTGATTGTACCGTTACAACATGTAGCACAGCCCTGAGGGGCAGAATGGAGGCTTTCAAAATATGGACACTTCTTTTGAAACAGACTAGCACTTTTTGAAAGGGTAGTTTCACTTGGTGTAGTTTTTCTTCACTTACACATTTCATTTTTATTGCTCACAATAGTTCTGAATGAGAGGCTAAAAGCACATTATCAATTTTGCATCTCTTTCTGATCCTTACTTTGAAGGAAAATCACAGGGTTTCTTCACAGTCTCATGGTGAATAAAAATAATGGTTTTTGATAAATCTACTAGTAAATAATACTAGGAGTTTAATAAGATATCATACATAGGTCTAAAAATGGCTTAAAAATTAATTTTTCCAATTATTTGGGACTATATATTAAACTATAAAACACTGATAGCTTTATTAAATAGTAAACAAAATGGACTCAAAACCAGAGGTTATGTTATCATTGTTTAGTAAATGGAAAGAACAATTTGAGATGAACTATCTTTAAATATTTTAAAAATTTATAACATGAATAATGGAGATAGAAGTCAGCTTTGGAGAAAATAGTGATATTTATGAAAAAACTACTACTAATCACATTTCCATTACCAATCCTGGGGATTGAAATCTTGCCTTTAGTTTTTGCCTACAACCCTATAGGACACTCTCACTAACCTCTCACTGACAACATGATGGCCTTGAAAGCAGGGCATCTCCCACAAAGGCTTCAGAAATTACAGGGCTGGTCTCTCTTAATAGTTTAGTCCTGCTTTATTTCCAAAGGTCAATTATAAAGCCTTGTGGATTTACTGGGTTTCTTTTCAGACTCCATATGGAAGTAAAATAGAATGATCATTTGGAAAGTCTCCTGGGAAAACATTCCTCTTCAATCAGCTTTTTTTTTTTTTTTTTNAAAAAAAAAAAAAAAAAAAGGAAAGAAAGGGAGAAAATTGGTTAGTTGTGTGTTTATGTCAATGGTTTGATAGAAGGTAGGCAGCTATAAGTGGTCTATTTCCAAAAATAAAAAAGAGGTCAATATAGAATGATTTTAAAGAGAGCAAAAGGTTGAGAAGCAACTTATGGAAAGCTTTCTATTGTACCTAAGTTGCCCTGTTTCAACCAGAGAGACTTAACTTTTGCCAGTAAGTGGGCTGAAGTATAGACAGCCTGCCCACATCCTTTAAGCCTACGTTGGACATGTGGAAAATTCACAGATCCTCTACCACAGAGACATGTGAATTCCTTACATCTGTGACCTTTGAGACATATCCCACTGTCTCTGGAACTCCAGGCACACTGAATCCTGGATTTGGGGAAAAAGATTATCCTGCTGCAGCTTGGGTTAGAAATAGGAAAATTCGGTCTCCATTAGAATACCCAGTTTGAGTTCTATAACTGTATTATTCACATATTCTCAGATGTAAATAAGGCTGTATATTTATATGTGAATTAGTTTCAAACTTAAATGTTTTCCTTAATTTAAAAGTTTTCTTCTTTGAATGCTGATCATTTCTGACAGAAAAGACTTTTATGAACTATGATTCATGTATCTTATGTACCACCTCTAAACACTTTCTCACAACCTCCTTATCCCCGAGACTCCAGGACAGTCTATAACATCTTAAGAAGCAACATTTTTTAGTATTCCACACAGACTCTTTTAGAATTTTCTTTTTTGATAACTATAAATAATGAAGATTTAATGATTCCCATTCTTTATTTTTTAAAGGATGCTTTAAAAATTTTTAGTTACCAACCTATGGATAAAATCTTTCTTTTCATGTTTTAGATTTCTTATATAAGTGCTAAACTACTGCTTTATTTGCCAACACATTTATTTGGAGTTGCATTGAAATCTTGACTTTTTTTCTTATAAATCGGTAAAATAACATAGCCAAATATTTCACTTGTTTGCATAAACAACTATGGCTTAAACATAGCATTTTTTTCCTAATATGAAAGTAATTCATTATAGAATCCTGGCAAATAGATAAACATTATGAAGAAGAAAATGAAAACCACTCACTATGATTCCACTACCTAGAGAGAAGCATCGTCCAAATATTGTTTCCATCTGGTAGCAAAGGCATAACTCTGCATTTGTGTGGCAACACGATTTTATGCATGTTAGACAGCAATAGGACAAATCTAAAGTATTAAGTAATGTCTCATAGTATTTATTGTTTACAGGTCAATTTTACCTCCTTTAGTTTTTAACCTTCCCTGATTCTATAAGGAATGTCATTTTTTCATGGTTTACACCTGAAACCACAGCTTCACAAAAGTGTAGTTAAATCAGCAGTTGCAAAATTAACAGGTCACAGAGCTCAGACGCAAACTTGATTCTCCGGCATCTCAAATCCAGTAATCTTTCCATCACAGTCTAACTACCTCATGTATTTGGATTCCTGTTGCAATTTATTCTTTTGACTAAATTAAAAGTCATTCTAAAAGTTTGCCTTAAAACACCCTCAAAGTGTTACTAAATTTAGGTTAAATCTCAAGTATAAATTTTCAAGCAATTAGTTTTGGTTTTGCCTGCTCAGAACACCCTGCAGATGATGCCGAATAAAAACTATTTACACACTACCAGAGTGCATTTCTTGTAAAAATATTGGGTCTGTAGCAACGATTTGCTAATCAAATTCAGAATTTGATTTGAAATGCCTTCAGCAGGCAGCCAATCCAGTTATGAAAGAACAGAAGCAAAAACCAGAGCTCTAATGAGTCTCCTCCAGAAGCTAGCTGGGTCCTTTGCTCTCATTAGCAAACTGGTTCCATAGGAAATCACTGCAATTGCTCCTAAAATAAAATATCATAGTTAATTTTTTCAATAAATTATTGAACTTTACTAGACACAAAACAGGTATCTTTTGGAATCTAGAGTTATAAAATATTCTGACATGTTTTAATATAAGCAGGAACATTTCCAATGATTGCTTGGATCGAAAATGTTTTTCCCCTTGACATTTGTTTATACTTCCTAGGAAAGAAATTCTATTTATGGATAACTGAATAACACAAATAAACATCAGAGAGAGCTGAAAAATCAGCTTTGATTATGCATGAAAATCTACAATGTCATTGCCTGTTTATTTTTACAGAACTGCTGGTGAGCCTATGGAAGAGGAACCAGCCTTGTGAAGTGCCAAGTCCCCCTCTGATATTTCCTGTGTGTGACATCATTGTGTATCCCCCAACCCCAGCACCCTCAGACATGTCTTGACTGCTGCCTGGGTGGCACAGATTCAATGGAACATAAACACTGGGCACAAAATTCTGAACAGCAGCTTCACTTGTTCTTTGGATAGACTTGAAAGGGCATTAAAGATTCCTTAACTGTAACCGCTGTGATTCTAGAGTTACAGTAAACCACGATTGGAAGAAACTGCTTCCAGCATGCTTTTAATATGCTGGGTGACCCACTCCTAGACACCAGGTTTGAAGTAGAAACATTCATTAGAGCACTAGATATTGTTAATTTCAGATGCTATGACAGACAGTGAAATTTTGGGCAAAACCTGAAACATACTCATTCCTGACATTCTGATCAGCTTTTTTGGGGTTAATTTTCTTTTTCAAACAGTCTTAAGTTGTTTACAAGATTTGCTTCAATGGATAGCAATTCTATACAAACTGTAGTGTTTCTTGTTTGGTTGGTTTTTTCCTTTTTTTTTTTTTTTTAACTTTGTTTTAACACACAGTTCAACTCTTCCTAGCAAGAGTTCAAGATGGAAGAACTAAGATGAGGCTTTTTTTCAGTGGAATGAACCACAC